GTCCTGGTGGACAACAGGATGACCATGAGCCAGCAATGTGCCCTGGCGGCCAAGAAGGCCAATGGCATCCTGGGGTGCATCAAGAAAAGTGTGGCCAGCAGGTCAAGGGAGGTCATCTTCCCCCTCTACTGTGCCCTGGTGAGGCCGCATCTGGAGTACTGCATCCAGTTCTGGGCTCCCCAGTTCAAGAAAGATAGGGAACTGCTGGAGAGGGTCCAGCAAAGGGCTACAGAGATGATTAGGGGATTAGAACATCTCTCTTATGAGGAAAGACTGAGGGACTTGGGTCTTTTTAGTCTAGAGAAAAGAAGCCTGAGGGGGGATCTTATTAATACTTATAAATACTTAAAGGGAAGGTGCCAGGGGGATGGGAACAGTCTTTTTTCAGTGGTGCCCAGTGACAGGACAAGAGGTAATGGGCAAAAACTTGAACACAGGAAGTTCCATCTTAACATGAGGAGGAACTTCTTTACTTTGAGGGTGGCAGAACACTGGAACAGGCTGCCCAGAGAGGTGGTGGAGTCTCCCACCCTGGAGACATTCAAAACCTGCCTGGACGCTGTCCTGTGCAACCTGCTGTAGGTGACCCTGCTTGGGCAGGGGCATTGGACTAGATGATCTCCAGAGGTCCCTTCCAACCCTGACCATTCTGTGATTCTGTGATTTCTGATTACACCTTTCAAAAACCTTTCAGGAAAATTTTAAAAATTTTTCTAACTTTGCTTATAAAATATCGATGTTCTTAAAGAGAAAACAACCCATACAAATTCTTAAAAGTGTTCCCTGCACCCTGGTGTCTGAGCTCCAGACTCAGAGAAAACAAAAGCCAACAGAAAAAAAAAGCACAAACAGAAAAACTAGTCTCCGTAAACCCTCAAAATATGCAAAAGGGATTTCATTACCTTTAGCTGAACACATCTCTTCCTTTGGTTTATCTGTTTGCAATTATTCTCCTTTTCCTCATTTTTGGAGATAGTTGTCTTTCTAAAAGTGCGCAGAAAAAGAGCATCTTAAAATAACTACATCATCACGATCATTATGACACCTTGAGTACACTGACTATATCAGTCTTCTAGACAATGAAGCCCTATGGCTTTTCAGTAGTGTCACTAGGTGCAAGAACAATGCTAAAATCCCACAAATGAGACATGAAAGCACTTCTTGTTCCATGTACACCACATGCAATACCAATGGTTTTCAATTATATTTTTTTAGTTTTAAATAAATCATCTCTCTGATCTCAGCAGACACCTTTTCAGTGAATTGCTTGCATGCAAAAGCAATGAAACAAAAACTAAGTTGGTGATAAATTAAGTCAATTCTATTACTCTTCACTTTGCATCTATGAGTTGGTTTTGGTATGTGAAGTGACACCACTACTAAACCTCTTACTTTACTTCCTAACTCTCCCAGAACCAGATTTCAAGTAACATGATATTCTGCTCTCCTGTGCTAGAAAGACCTGTTATTTTTTGTTCTGTTCAACAAATCTGATTATGGTTAAATGCGTCAAAGAGCAATGACTGAGGAAAATATGAAACAGCTGCAAATGATACACCCTGATGTTTACTATTCTGAATGCAGCTGGTTAAAAGCAGTTCTAGAAAAACACTGATATGAACCTTGGTGTAGGACTATGAGTAATTGCACATAGACTGACAGAATTTCAACAACAATTTGGCACAAATGGCTCTGCAAATCTCATAGAAATGTTCCACAGAACAACATCCTCCAAGTGATATTAACTGTACCATTACAGAACCTTAGAATAAATAAAACACCATATTTCTTCATAGCAGGTGAGATACTCAAAAGCACTGAACTGACTTAAGCCATTCAGACAATTCTGAAAAATTTATCCAGAAATTTAGTAAAACTAGAAAGAATGTGAGTAACTTCAATAATATTGAAAACACAAATGCTTTCACAGATTACAAGCTAAAATGATATGTGTTGTATAAAGTCACACATTAATTTCTGAATGAATGTGAGAATTTCTAGGCAATTTATTGCATTGAACTTGCATTTACACCGTTGAGAGGTAAGCAGCTGAAGGTTGTGACCTACCTGTATTATAACTTTTCAATATCCAATTCAGTGGAGAAGTGCAGAAGAACTCACTATCCACTTGAGCTCAGCAGGAGCAGGAGAAAAAGCTGCTTATGCCTAGGGACCATAAGATAACCTTTCAGGAAACCAGTGGGGACCAGGGCTCACTCACCCATGAGCTGTTGTGGAGAACTGCATGGCTTTACCAGGAGCTGAAAGAGCTGAGCCTAAGCACTTGACGGAGGATTTGCCAGATCATAACTTTCGTAAGGAAAAGTCAGCCTTTGTACGAGCATTTTTGTTACAAATCACCTTCTTGTGGGAGCAGAATTCTGATATTGTTATTAATCACAAGCACTGCAGCCATCATAACACGTCACTTAATAAGACAGTAAGTGATGAACGGATCTTTTGCTAAAATATTGTTCCTTTAGAACTATTTCAGCATCACTAGAAAGTACCTTTAAAAATTGCCGCACTGGTACTCACTTTGTAATAACAGTCAAATCATTGACTTCAAAGCAGGGACCCAAATTGCTACAATATGACAGTACCTTCTCCTGAGAAAAGCAATGGAAAGACCAGTGTGACAGCAAAATTGTTTTCTGAGATCAAAACTACCAATTAAAGGCACAAATCTACACAGTCTTATGCCACAGTATTTAAAGTTATTAGATTTTTTTTTAAATAGACATTTACAGAAGCTACTTAAGGCTGCCCAGGGAAGTGGTGGAGTCATCATCCCTGGAGGTATCTAAAAGACAGGTAAACATAGTGCTTAGGGACATGGTTTAGTGGTGGTTTTGGCAGTGTTAGGTTGATGGTTGGACTCGATGGTCTTAAGGGTCCCTCCCAGTCTAGACGATTCTACAATTCTTAATCAGCACTTGTTAGGAAAACAGAGGCAGCTCAATAACCAGACTGCATATCAAAGCTATGAAACAGAAACCCGTCAGCATGGGCTTATTATTTTTTTCTTCCATTAACATAATTATTTCCTACTCAGTAAAAATGAAAATGACATGTTAGCATTTCAAAAACACAAGAAAATGACCCTCTAGGCTTTATATGACTATCAAAACAAGCACTGGTACTTTATTTGCAAATTATCGTGCATGAAATGATTGACTCAGCAGGTTTACCAGTCACCAAAGTGTGTGCTCTACTAGTTATAATCAATTTACATGTAATGGTATGTCTAAATATGAATTTAAATGAGTTCTTGCCGTTTCATGTTGATCAGCTGGTTTATCATCATAGATAGGACAGTGACCATAGTTAATGCTGCAGAAACAGCATGCACAACTTCCAGGAGCCAATGGAAACCAAGCATGAAGAAATTTGTTTTCATATAAAAAGACAGCCTCTGACTGCTAAGTCATGTTTATTTTCCAGTCAAGTTAACAAAAATACTTTCTCAGAGGTTATTTCCAGGCATTTGCACTATATACCATATCCACAGCAAAGTACAGTATGACTCACAACAGCTTTCTCACCTTGTAACCTACTGGATTTCTCTTTCAATGTATGAAAAGAACCCTGAGGCCACCACAGAATAAAGAACATTTCAATATCATCCATGTTGTATATGTATACACTAATGTATATGTATACATTATTAGGAAAGGAATATTCTGGAGATTAAGATAATTCTAGTTTCTTTAATAGTGCATTAGTCACATCCCTGCACAGCAATCTTTAATACAATCATCAAAAATTTAAAATAACTGGGGCAAGTGAAATTAAGCTCCTTCACAGCAGATAGTGTTGATCAGATGATATGTGGGAAGTAAGCAAGGCAAAGCCATGTTTATCATACAAGAATGCATAATTAAAGGCTAGCCTCAAAAATGTCTTCATTTAATACAATTAAACTAATATAATGGCAATGACTTCATCAAAAAGATGCCATTATGTGCTAAAGTTAATTTCATTTTACTTAGAATACTGTAAGTCAGATAAATAAAGCGTAACATTTTCCAAACAATAATCCTTTTCCTTTTCCTTAGCTTTATTAATAATGTACATATTCAGGTAGAATACTCAAACATAATTTTTGCTGATATACAGAATCATCTTAATGCATATTTGGTACAATTTCTTATTTTTGGTGTTAAGTAGTCGCATTTATTTTGATAAAATGATACAGCAGATTTATATGTAACATCACATTTAGTTTTTGTCTATATAAAGAATTTACAGAGCTTTTTGAATTGTGGAATGGTACGTTCCATACATGTGAAATTTTAAAAATGCTGCATGAACCTGAGACCTTGCCAATACACAGATCAACCTTCAGAAACTGTCATGAGCATGAGTTGTCACACATTTCTATCTGGGCCCAGGACAAGTATGGACACATTGAAGATGTTGTAACATCAGTATGATTTGCTTTTACTTTGGTGGTTGTGATATTCCAGGTGCGGAAGCAAAGTGCACCTTAATGGTCCTCAGAGCAGTATTTTTATCCCCCTGTATTTTAAAGGCATCAGCTTCTTTTATTCTCCCTTGTAGCGAGGAGTTCTCTTCTCTTTAAATGCAAGAAGACCTTCAATTCTATCTTTTGTTGGAATAGTCTGCAATGAGCAGAGTAACAATTCGTTATTGACACCAAAAACAATACCAAGAAAAATATTTTCATACAAAATGTAATTCTTCAATGCATCCAATGTGCAACATATAATACAACAGAAAAATGAAAACTAAAATGTCTAGTCAGATACAGGAATGTACCAGACACTTCAAAGAAACAATATAAGGCTGAGAAACAATTTGGGAGAAGAAGGAGTATCTTTTCTCCAAACAGATGACTGTGAGAAACTCTTCAGGGTTTGTTTTTGAGTTTTTGGTGGATTTTTTTTTTTTTTGGGGGGGGGTTCGTATGTTTTAAATAAGCATCTAATGCTGATGCTTCTGTTCCCATGATCAAAAACTTGTCTCAAAGTCCAAGAAGATACAAACTCAAATACATCATTTCCCTGTTTCTCTGGCAAAGAGGTTTGTCTGGGTTTTCTGTTGGTTAGCACATATGCCATTAGTGGCAGATGTCAGTGAAGTGCCTTTCACATTATTCCATGTTAAACCAAAACAAAGCAAAAGCAAGGCAGTTCCTGGACGAAATACATGGCAGTGTATGACTGGCTAGGTATATTCACTACCTTCATCTTAACAGTCTTGGCAGGGAGATGCTTTTGTGCTGAACTACAACTCCTTCCTTAAATTCCTTACAAAAACAGAGTAACTAGAAGGAAGGTCTAAATACAATGCCAAAATATTTGTAGAAGAAATCATAGAGCAATTTCTAGTTGAATTTCTGCATGTTTCATAACAAGCACCAACAAAGCCTGTTTTCTGGGGTTTTTCGTGTAATCGTAGTTACATACCTGAGCGTAACAAGCTTCTTCAATTGCTAAACCTGTTACTAAGTCGACCTGAGGAAAAGAATACAATGTTTTTTATAAGCATATTTGTGTGTTTTTGTTTTATATTACGTCCTGAAAGCTAACTTAAATACTGTGTTTCTATATGCCACACACGAAAACACTTCTGCAAAGTTCTTCTCCACTACCTTAACATAGAAATGCTACACTGCCATGTGGTGACAGTGGTTAGCATTTCTCTAATAAGTAACAATTAAGTTTCCTTACTTGGTGATACAATTAGTATGTAATATGCTGTCAAAACAATGTACGTTCTTCACTACAAATCATCTGGATTAAAAACCATTAGCTACTTGCACATTTGTAATAATTTCATTTATGATAGGGGAAAAGATTTAATGTACTGCATGGTTATTTAAAAATTGTTCTGAAACAAATTATCTTCAAAATGTCATATAAGAACATGATGCCGTGCCACAAAATAAATTCAAATTTAAAGGGATTAAAAAAAAAAAAGAAAAAAAAGGCCAATGGCCATCCTGCATCATCAGCTAATTTTAATAACATTTTTTTCTTTATGAGCTGGTCTGAACAGCTGAAAAGGCTGAATTTTCTCCTCACTATTTCTCCACCTGTCTTACGCATCAGCTGCTGCAGAACTTACCAGCTCTCCACATGGCCACTGAAAGGCCTCCGGCTATGCACCACAAGAAATTCGTCAAAGGGAGATAAGCTATAGGATAGATTACCAAAGGAAGCCAGGAAATCTCTGCCATAGAAGGTTTGTAGTAACAGTTTAAATGAACATTTGGCTTGGTTGGTTTTGATACAGCAGGTCTTGTCTTGGGGCCTTAAGATTGAACTAGATGATCATTCCAAGTCCCTCTAACCTTACTGTCCATAATTCTTTAAACATCATGATTTTGACCTAAATAATGTGGTACCTAAATAATTTAGCTTGTAGCATTTTGAAACTTGGGTACCACCAAAATAGATCTTGAATTCCATCACTACTTGCTGTGAAAACCTCACCAACATACTCTTTGCAGAATAGCATATGATCTTGGTTCTCAGACCACAGCTTACTGGTGGTACAGTCTGTTGAACTCAACTGCATCACTGGTTGCTTTTGAGACTTTAAGAAAAAAAGGACCATTGTTAAATTCATCTTCCTGGATTCTGACATGGCATGAAGTACGATCCCCTTTCCCTTGTCCCAGGTAGAGCTATAAGGTGCAGAGCTTATGCATGTGCTTAACTTTAAATATGAATAGTCCTGCTGAGCTAAGCAAGATGATTCACAAGCCTAAAGTAAAACACATGTTCAGACGTGTTCAGGGCTGGATTTTAATGAGCTTTAGAGCTAGGTCAATAGTGTTCAAGAAGGAGTGGCAATCAGAATCAAATATGAAATCTGACTCCAGAGATAATTTGAATACTAACCTCTATTAAACTATTAAAAATAAATAACATGCATTTTGGCCTTTAACTTTATGAGTTACTAACCACTGACAGCATTGACAGACTTGACAGAATATGACTTCAAGGGCTTTTTCTGCTCAGTATTTGAAATACAACCTGTTCATAGTAGCTTACGTTTACTTTCTAGCATTAATAATTAGCAGAGTGCATTACTCCTGGACAGACATGAGGTTACTTAGCCTCGTTACAGAAATCAGCATCAACTCTAGTCTCAGGAGTCTGAGAGATAAAAAAATTGCATTTCACCTTTTAAAAGGTTTTAACCAAATAGATTTTGAAAGATTATACACTGAGAAACTAAAAACAGTTATAGAAAAAAAAACTACCACAGTAGACCTGTTGCCAGCCTGACTTCTGCTTAATTTTATGGAAAGTACAGATCCTTACCTCCATACCCTGATTGATGGCCAGTTTTGCAACTCTCATTGCTACTGGTCCCTAAAATGAAGGAAAAAGCTTATTCAGATATCATCAAAATCTACAACATTATGCAGTGAAGAGCCTGCACATGACTGTTCTTATATTGGGACCTTCTAGACTTTGGATCTTTATTAAATTCATAGCAAACAGATCAAATATCCTAAATTATATCACTATAGTAGGCATTGCTTCCAAACCAGTAGTTTGAATATTGAGAAAAAGTGAAAATATACTGTTTTCAAAAGAACTTAATTAAAGCAGTGTGTTTGGTTTACATTTCAAAGGTGCTGAGCACACCCACTTCTGCCAATCTTCATCAATTCCTTGCAAAACAAGGCGCAGAACAGCCACCTTAAGAGACATCATTATAGGCCTTCACAAGCTCAATCTTATGTCCCTATTATCACACAATGGAGATGCATGAAAAGATGTGATAAAAAAATAAAATGAACTGGTGCAGCCTCAAACATAAAATACACTACTTCAATGCCTGCACTGGTCAAGAGATGACACTCTTCCATGAGAGACCGAGGTCCCGAGCGAGCAGAGGGACTTTCACCCTTCTCCTCCAATGTGCTGCAGAGTAGCGAGACATCTTTGGGAATTGTCTCAGTCTTGTGCCTATGCACCAGCATCAGCTTCTGAATGTTCAGACATTGCTTTAGAGAAGTGGCCTGCTGCTCTGGGAAAGCCAAATGCTTTTGAGCGGGTTCCAATTCAAAGTTGTAACTATAAATCAACCTTTTTGAATCACTGTATGTTCAAGTTTTTACTGTATTTTCCATGTTTGTCTTCCTATCAAAGACATACAACACAAGACAAACAACACAAACAACCGATGTTAAATGCCATACTTAACCCACAACATTTTCCATTTTCAACAACAAATTTTAGCTGTTACACTTGTAACAGCTAGTAAACCAATGAAGTGGTTTACTAATTATTTTCTTCTTTTGCCTCCTATGTATTTGCTACCTGGGACCCTTCCCTT